CAGGAAGGCGACGCTGGAGGAAATCCAGACGGTCCACTCGGAGCACCACGCGCTGCTCTATGGCACCAGCCCCCTCAACCGCCAGAAACTGGACAGCAAAAAGCTGCTGGGTGGGTGCCGGGGGTCCCCAAAGCCTGGGACCCCCCTCTTTGGAGCTGGGGTCACCTCGCTGCCCTGTTCCTCGGGATCCCTCTGTTCCCTGCGGGTCCACGTCCCCTGGGGTGGCCGGGACAGTCCGTGGCCCACGGGGGGTCCCAATCCGTGGGGTGTTCAGGGGTCCCGTGGGTGCCGCTGTCCCCTGGGGTTCCCTTGGGGTGCCCGAGGGTGCCGTGGGATCCCCCTGTCCCCTGGGGTTCCCTTGGGGTGCTCGGGGGTCCCCTTGTCCCCCAGGACCCCTGTGTCCCCTCGTCCCCATCACCCCTTGACCCCGCAGGTCCCATCACTCCGAAGACGTACGCGGTGCTGCCGTGCGGGGGCATCGGGGTGAGTGTGGGGCACGGGCCGGGGGTGTCCCCGGGGTGGCCGTGCCCCGCTGAGCCCCGGTGTCCCCGCAGGTGGACAGTGACACGGTGTGGAACGAGCTGCACTCGTCCAGCGCGGTGCGCACGGCCGTGGGCTGCCTGCTCGAGCTGGCCTTCAAGGTGGCTGCAGGGGAGGTCAAGGTGAGCGCGTGTCCCTGTCACCCTGCGTGTCCCTGTCACCCTGCACATGGCCCTCTCTGCCCCACGCCTGGCCCGGCTGTGTCCCAGTGCCACACGTGTCCCTCTCTGTCCCCCAGAATGGCTTCGCCGTCATCCGCCCCCCAGGCCACCACGCCGAGGAGTCCACGGCCATGTGAGTGCAGGGACAGGGTCGGGACCCCCGTGCAGGGCCACCCCCTCCACCCATGTCCCGTGTCCCTTGTCCCCAGGGGCTTCTGCTTCTTCAACTCGGTGGCCATCTCGGCCAAGCTGCTGCAGCAGCGGCTCAGCGTGGGCAGGATCCTCATCGTGGACTGGGTAAGGTGGGGCAGGGGGGACCCCACAGGCCTCGGGGACCCCGTGGGTGGCCGTGGGGGGGGTCCCTGACGCCCGGGCGTCCCCCCAGGACATCCACCACGGCAACGGGACCCAGCAGGCCTTTTACAGCGACCCCCACGTGCTCTACATCTCCCTGCACCGCTACGACGACGGCAACTTCTTCCCGGGCAGCGGCGCCCCCGAGGAGGTACCGGGGGAATCTGGGGGTTGGGGGCTCCCCCGTGCCCCCCCCGGCCCTGGCTGTGGCACGGGGGGGTCACCTGTGGCTGTGCCCAGGTGGGCAGCGGGCTGGGCGTGGGCTACAACATCAACATCGCCTGGACCGGCGGCGTGGACCCCCCGATCGGGGACGTGGAGTACCTGACAGCCTTCAGGTGGGGGGCTGCACCTGGGGGGGCTCTGTCCTGGGGAGGGGTCTCTGTGTCCCGGGAGGGGTCTCTGTGTCCTTTGGGAGGGGTCTCTGTGTCCCGGGGAGGGGTCTCTGTGCAGCGGGGGGGTCCCCTGGATCCTGGG